ATCAACCAGAAAACACCATTTTATACTGAATACCGGAAAACACCGGAAAAACACTAAATACCGGAAAACATCCTAAATACCGGAAAACACTCTAAATAGGTAACCCGAAGCCTGGTCCCCCCACCCCCCCAAAAAAAATTCCGATTTTTTTTTCTCCAAAATTTTTTTGACCCAAAAAAAATTCTGTCACAAAAAAAAATTCGAATTTTTCCGAAAAATTGGTTTTACAAAAAAACATTCCGTAGAAAATAATTTTACAGGGAAAAATACTGGAAAAAATATTTGAATTTTTTTTGAGAGAAATTTAGGAGAAGAAATTGTTAAAAAAAATCTGAAAAGAAATTTTTCTTTAAGCGTAGGCGATCGCTCGCTTGTATGTTAATGAACTTATTTCATCAGCGCTCACCTGGTCCAAAACCACACACGAGGACCAAACTCCGGGTTACTAAAATAGCTACCGGAAAACTTAGAAGAGTAAACTGTGCCCGAGATTTTTTTAGAGAGCGCGCCGCGCCGCGCCGCGCCGCTCCGGGAGGGATCATCGTCAGGGTGGGGCGGGGGTGAAATTGTCCAGTCACGTGACGAACATAGATCTTCCGTTCCTCAACCCATATTATTTCCAGTCATTGTCATTAATCACAAATTACGGGATGATATACGAAAATGCAGGTTTACTTTGAAATAGTGCAAATGATACGTATCATCTACAATCTTCAGATCAAAGGATGCAAGTTCTTACACAGTGCAGCATAATTTGTGCAAAAGAAGACATCTCGAATATCGATCCGGAAAAAACATTTTCTCGGGGACATTTTTTTCCGAATACGCATTCGGTGTAAGTCTTCAGCCACCAGGAAGTGGTTAAAATAGTAACGTTTTATTACGATAGTAGTACATAAAACAAATTGGTTGCCTGAGATTCTCGGGGGGGGGGGAAGTAGCCTCATCGGCTAGAGTCCTCTATTTCACAAACAAAAACAACAATTGCTTCCTTGAAAATTTATCGATCAACCCTTTTCACAGACGTCTAGCTTACCACTTCCCGTGAATGCAGCAAGATAGATTATGTAGTTTTCTCATGGACAATTGGGCGAAAGTTGGGGTTTTCTCAAGGAAAACTGGTCAACAAGTTGGGGAAAAAAGCTCGAAAAGTAATCCAGAAAAAAATCCTGTGTGCGGCCCTCAAGTGATTATATTTGACCCTGGAATGAAAGTAAGCTCAGAAACAAGTAGATTTTTAACCCTTCCAACGAGATGGATAGCTCTTGGAAAGGATCAACACTTTTCAGATTACAGCCTGTCCGAGAATTGCGTGGCATCCATTTCGTTTGGTGATTAGGACACATAGCGGTTAAACCTGGAACTTCAACTCGAACTATTCAGAGATTTATTAACTCGCTTTTGATGATACTTGCTGTTTTATGATGCGATTGTTTGTTACCTAGGGAGGAGTTGGCCTAGTCGTACCACCCTGATGCCACCGTTACTGATAAGAACCAGGAGATCGGCGCAACCGGCATATAATGGGGCCCTCCGAGGGCAGTGTTTAATCTAATGAAATACTGAAACACTGAAATCTACTGAAATTTACTGAAAACTAAAATTAAAATATAAGATAAAATATGTTCAATGATGGAGGTAGACTGATTGCGTCTTTTAAAACATTCAAAACATAATAGGCATCAACAAAATTTTTGAGAAAAAAAATCGGAAATTTTTATTATTTTTTTTTTTTGGGGGGGGGGGGGCTATTTGTAAAACGAACATCGTAATGACTTTGACCTTCCTTCATCGGCGCTCACTTGGTCCAAAACCGCACACAGAGGACCAGGCTCCGGGTTACCTATTTAGGGTGTTTTCCGGTATTTAGGATGTTTAGTGTTTTTCCGGTGTTTTCCGGTATTCAGTATAAAATGGTGTTTTCCGGTTGTTTTCCGGTGTTTTCCGGTATATAGTATGACCCGCCATTTTGTGTTTTCGAATTAATTGATGTATATTTTGTTGACTCTTTGTTACATTTGAACTCATCGTAATACTGAGTCATTCGTAATATTGAACTATTCGTTATATTGACCGTATCGTTTCATTAACCTGCTCTTAATATTGAGCTATTCGTTATATTGACCCCTTTGTTATATTGACCGGCATTTAACATTGACGGGGATGGGTGGGGGGGTGGGGTAGATGGCCGAATGGTTAGCACGTGCGCGCTGTATCATAGGGTCTGTCATTGAGTCAACTGACTTGGTTTCGTTTCCACGGTTGTACGTGACAAGGCATATGATCGGCTGTCCAACCACGTGGGTTTTTCTCCGAGTCCCCTGGTTAACTCGCAATTCTATGACTCATAACAATGAACTCTTTCTGATATTAATACTGGTAATAGTGAACTCTTGCAGGTATTAAACTTGTAATTCTTTGACACGTTACATTATAGAATAATTTAGAATATGGAAAATTAAAGATGAATTAGATAAGATTTAGATAAAGAGCTGGTCTTTCTTGACAAAGTGGTTGAAAAACAAATAATGGATAATAAATATGTTGAAAATATCAGTCAAATTACTTCATTCAATCTTTGCGAAGTTATGAGCGCTTGAAGATTTAACAAGATTGTGTCGATTATCAAGTACCATTACCCATTTTACTGTATAGAGAGTTAATTATGGGCTTGTTCTCTCCCGCCCCCCCCCACACACACACCCCATCCAGTTACGGGCCTGTTCATTTCCGACATTGTGTGTTGTTCTTGCCCGTAAAATATCACCCAAATAGTGTTCACGCAACTCTTATGGAAGACCAAACAGCTCTTTATTCAATGTTCTTAGTCCTTATTTCTTAATTCATAGTCCTTAATTCTTATTTCTTCATTTGTTGTCGTATTTCGACATTTGTACAGTAAAATTAACATTTGTATCTTAAAATCAATATTTGTTTTTAAAATAAAACATTTGTCGTATCAGATTTGTAAAATGTATTTTAATTGTATTTCAATATAAAGATAAAATTTATTTTAGAAAATCAAAACTTAGCCTACATTTACATTTCATTAGAGAAAAACAAATCTGGAACAACAAATTTCTAAATACAAATTTCCAAATACAAATCTTGCAAAATATCTCTCCAAAAGCATTTCTTCAATACCATTTCTACAAAAACATTTCTCGAAATCCATCGAACCAGAATATTATGACCACACTGATCCGCAGTGAATATTCGCTTGGCCGCTATAAAATGGTGTTTTCCGGTTGTTTTCCGGTGTTTTCCGGTATATAGTATTGCCAATTTGAAGACAGACAATGTTTCACATTTTCGAATGGAAGGTAGTAGCGAATTCCATAGAATTGATGCATTATACTGAAAAGTCCTTGAACCAAATTTCTTCATCTTATAAATCGGTACATCTAACAATAATTTATTCTCGGATCTCAGTGACCGTTTTGGTTGGTAGTGTGTCAAGAGATTCTGGAGATATCTTGGTGCTGTTTTATTTAATGTTTTGTATGTCAGAGTTAAAATTTTAAAGTGAATTCTCTCGCGCACTCGGAACCAGTGAAGGTTATTTAAGATGGGAGTGACAGTAACATGCCTACTAAAATATACCTGAAAGTAATAATCAAAGGCTATTATCCGTTACGAGTTATCCGCCCTTTGTCTACCTGGACACAATGGCTATGGAAGATTTATCTTGATTTATCTAGAGGTCAAACTTGATCTATCTAGGGGATAAACTTGATCTAAAATAATATTTTATTTGCATTTAGTTGCAATATATACACATTAAGGCAATCTCAGCAGTCTGATACGGGCGAGGGTTGGGGTTATGGTTGCGTGGAGAGAGTTTAAATCTCTTCATAGGCAATGACCTTGGATGACGAAAGACCTTGTAAGACATAAAAAATAATATCAAATGAACCATAGAAAAAAACACAACAACAACTTGTGGTCATAGGCTACAAAAACAATTCAAATGAAAGAGAGTTTTTAATTTAAATCACTGTTGTATGGAGCAGAATTCACGACATAATTCTAACTCTTCACCCAGTGTCTTCATTTGCCAGGATGGAGCAGAAAAGGTGGACGTTACATCACATTTCAATTCATTTCTTAATCTAGTACTGTTTGTGCTAATACGCTTACTTCAACTTCTTAATTCACTTCTCAATTACATATAATAAATTAGACTCCTTCAAATCCAGATTTAAACACAGTCTTTGAGAAATATTTGCAAGAGTGATTGTAAATTGTTTAGGCGGCATTTAGTAACTGGGGCCTGTTTCACGAAATTTTAACTAAGATAAAATCCAAATTTTAGTAAATTGATTAGATAATATTAGATTGATTTTAGAGCTTAGCCAATCAAAATTGAAGTTTCTTTTAAAATTTGGATTTTATCTTTAGTTAAGATTTCGAGAAACAGAGACCAGGATGAGAAGGACACGTGACACAATTATGACGCAATTATATGGAATACAAGTTACTGGAAAGATTTATTTCGGACGACGTTTCGACGAGGGATAGCTCGTCTTTATCAAAAAAAAAATAATGGCGAGACAACGTCGCCAGAAATAAATCTTTCAAGTTTGCATATAATTATGTCATGTGCCATGTGTTAAGAGTGATTGTATGTTGAATTAGAGCGATATTAATCGACTTATTATTATCAATAATCTGGCTATTTACACAGGTCAGAATTATGATTAATATAACTTATTCCCTAAATATTGTAGCATTTCCATCATTTACTGTCTGTATTTGTTTGGGTTTTTTTTATGTCAGAACAGCCAACCCGTTTTCATTTTACTTTGTTATGAGTCAGAATTATGACTTGAATTGCGTTCCATACTACATATCAATATCTATTGACTATTTATCCATTAGAAACACAACGCGATGATGTTTGTCGAGTTAAGACCTACAATGTTCGCAAGTCTGTATTTAGTGTTTTATATGTTTCAATGTATTTTATGTTTTACAAAATACAGACTATTAAATGTTGATATATTTTATGATGTGGCCGATAGTAAGATGGTCGCTGATAATAAGTTACTATGTGCTAAAGAATGCATGGAGGTAAAGTTATGCTGTGCGGCCTTTGCCTATCATGAAAACAGAAAAACTTGTTATTTTTATAATTTTAAACTACAGCCAGATTACGTCAATATAGCAGATCCTGGTCTAGTGACATTTGTTGATGTCGAAGAGGGTAAGTTTTAAATTCAATTTTTTATATATATATTACATTGTTTCCAATTTAAGATTTAAAACAAACACAAAAATTAATCGTCAACTTTATCCTCAATTTTTTTGCAGTCGCTAAAAATGTAGGTCTCACATAGAGGGTCGCCTGCACTCAACTCAAATCTGTCATTTTGGAACTAACATGTGACAAGGAGTCCAACCTCATGGGTTTTCCCACAGCTAAAGACCCCTACGCGCAAGCGAATTGTTGAAATAAATTGAACCATATGTTAGTCCCGAAATAACCTAGTTTGTGTCGAGTAGACGTTAAATCCCATTTATTTCTTTATATTATATTACATTTTTATTTTCCCATTTTCATTCACCTAGTCGGTGCAGATAGTCAGGACGTCAAACCCAGTTTCATTTTCATTTCAATAATATGTACAAACTTGGAAATGAAATGACATAAAATGGGGTTTACAATCCTAATTTTCTGCACCGTCGGGGATAATGAAGACGGGAAAATGCAGAAAAGTATGAATTTTATATGCTAATATTTGTGACTGTCGTTAGTTTGTCTGTCTCTCTGTTCAGAGTGTTGTCGGCTACACTAGGGCTGTTCCGAGACTGATATTTGGTGTATAGGGGTAACTCGGACCGTGAAGTAACATAGAATTGGTGGCGATGGACAACCACTTCCGGTGTATGATATATTTTACTTCCGGTTCATGGCGGTACCCGCGTTACCTGAAATTCTGATGAATAACTTACCCATTAAAAAGGCATTATATCGAGTATATAAATAAAAAAAAAAATTTCATAGACAACCTTAAACAGACAACCTTATTTTTCGGCAATGCAGCGCCTACAAAATTACAAAATCAAACTCGATAATAATTCTTGATTCACAATAATAGATATTTGTGTATAAATTGTTATTTCTATTCCGGTTTCCTCCCACTGCTAAAGACCCCTACGCGCAAGCGAATTATGTAAATAAAATTAAACCATATGTTAGTCCCGAAATGACCAAGTTTGTGTCGAGTGGACGTTAAACCCCATTTCTCTCTCTCTCTCTCTCTCTCTCTCTCTCTCTCTCTCTGTTATTTCTATATATTATAACATCAAGGCAATTTTTCAAGTGACTTGAAAAATGAATTAAAAGTATAGTTAATTAACTTTATATTTTTTAAAAGTATTTTTTTAAAATTCTGAATCAATCCAAATAGTTTTTTCTATAATAATTGTATTGATGATGAATTATTCAGCATGACCCTAAAACAAAATATATATTTGTTTTAGTATGTTTTATATTAAGTAACCATAAAATGATGAGATACTTAAAGGCCATTATTTGGTATGTCACTTGTTACCTTGAGATTAAGATTAAGGTGTAGTAAGACTATTGTCTTTTAATCTAACTGATTGATTGATTGATTGATTGATTGATTGAGTGATTGCCTGCAAATTAGTACTAATCTTTGATTATAATATACATCTTTACAGAAATCAACTTTTTAGGTTACATGTCTAAAAGAGGGTCTTACATGTAGATAAAAAAAAAATATTAAAGAAAATGTTTAATGCCTTTTTATTCTTATTATACTTTGTTGAAACTGATTTAATTTTTATTTTAAAACTATAATGAATTGGATTTGTGTCGGATAGACTTAATTTACTTCTTTGATGCTATACAATTTGAGGCCAGTTATATTGGAAATATTTATATGTGCCATAAAATGCAATTGAAAAGTAATTGAAATGTAATTGACCATTACATGATTTTAGGAAGGTAATTAATTACATTTCCATTACTCATTATTTTGAAATCTTCCATTACTCATTACATGGCCATTACTTAAAAATGTAATGATTATATTCCATTACCATTAACAAGCCCTGCCCTCTGCTCAGTGGTGCAGGACCGAGGGCCTAGCAAGTGACAAGGTATAGTCGTTCGGATAGGACGAAAAACCGAGGCCCTGTGTAAGATATTGAGGAGCCGCGATGGCTCAGTGCATAGGACGCCTTCTTACTTAGCGGGGGATCTTGGTTTCGAACCCAATGTTGGCAGAAAATGTTCCTTCAGTTTTCCAGGCGAGGTTTCCCGTTGATAGTGACCAACCTCCTGCGTGGGGTTTCCCCGGGTCCTCCGGTTTCCTCCCACTGCTAAAGACCCCTACGCGCAAGTGTAAGTCCCGAAATGGCCTAGTTTGTGTCGAGGGGACGTTAAACCCCATCTCATTTTAAAATATATTGATATTTTAGATAGAGAGAAACAGTACAATGTGACTATACGAACAGGTGAAAAGTATAGAGCTGGTACAGATGCTAAGGTTAGGATTCAGCTGTTTGGAACTAAGAGCACCACCAGTCAACATTTGTTAGACAAACCTGGTTACAGAGATTTTCAAAAATCTGCCAAGGATACGTATAAGGTAGATAAAATTGTGAATCTGTTTTGATTAAAAACTTAATCTATTTCATTTTTAAGAGAGAGAGGGAGAGAGAGGGAAAGGGGGAGGGGGAGGGTGTGTGTGTGTGGTGGGGGGTAAATCCTAGATCTCGAGGCTCTAGGTTTCAGTCTGTCACGCCTATAGGTCAATCCGCCACTGGATATTATCACACTTATATTTTAATGGCACGAGTATGTCATAGCATCTATATCAAACATATATTGAATGTATATAGATGATATTATATCTATAATATATCTATATTACATGGTATATGAATGTAATTATATCTATATTACATGTATATTTATTGGTATATATATGTTATTATATCTATATTCAATGATTATTTTAAGGTAAATGATGTGGATGTCGGAAACATAACCGCTGTTAAAGTGAGTCACGATAATTCAAAACATAATCCAGGCTGGTATCTTCTAGATGTAAGTATGATGAATCATTCAAATAGCTATGCATCCTGGTATCTACTAGATGTAAGTATTGTGAATCAACATGGATAACTTGTTGTTACATTGTATTGTCAACTAACATGGATAACTGGTTGACTACATATATTGTCAACTAACTGGTTGACTACATATATTGTCAGCTAACATTGATAACTGGTTGACTACATGTACTGTCAACTAATTCGTTGACTACATATATTGTCAACCAACATTGACTACATTGATCTCCACACAACTACATGGCATTTATGTATATTATTCAATATCCATTTCCATTGGGTAGTCTGACTAATGTCATTTTTGTTTTGTTTTTTCAGGTTGAAATTACGACTTGTTTAACGGATGAGACAACCACGATGGTATTTATGAACAGGGACGATGGTGATGTCACTATACCTGGTACTGAAACGTATTTCTATGTGTGTAATTGTTGGTTGATGACTAGCACATTTCTAGAAAGGACACTATCAGTCCAGAATAAAAACATTATCTACACAAACAAGATAAACAGGATATAAGAAGTGAAGACCGCCATTTTGTGTTTTCGAATTAATTGACATATATTTTGTTGAACTCTTTGTTACATTTGAACTCATCGTAATACTGAGTCATTCGTTATATTGAACTATTCGTTATATTGACCGTTTCGTTTTATTGACCTGCTCTTAATATTGAAATATTCGATATATTGACCCCTTCGTTTTATTGACCGGCATTTAACATTGACGGGGATGGGTGGGGTGGGGGTGATAGATGGCCGAATGGTTAGCACGTGCGCGCTGTATCATAGGGTCTGTCATTGAGTCAACTGGCTTGGTTTCGTTTCCACGGTTGTACGTGACAAGGCATAGGATCGGCTGTCCAACCACGTGGGTTTTCTCCGATTCCCCTGGTTAACTCGCAATTCTATGACTCATAACAATGAACTCTTTCTGATATTAATACTGGTAATAGTGAACTCTTGCAGGTATTAAACTTGTAATTCTTTGACACGTTACATTATAGAATAATTTAGAATATGGAAAATTAAAGATGAATTAGATAAGATTTAGATAAAGAGCTGGTCTTTCTTGACAAAGTGGTTCAAAAACAAATAATGGATAATAAATATGTTGAAAATATCAGTCAAATTACTTCATTCAATCTTTGCGAAGTTATGAGCGCTTGAAGATTTAACATGATTGTGTCGATTATCAAGTACCATTACCCATTTTACTGTATAGAGAGTTAATTATGGGCTTGTTCTCCCCCCCCCCACACACACACACCCACCCCATCAAGTTACGGGCCTGTTCATTTCCGACATTGTGTGTTGTTCTTGCCCGTAAAATATCACCCAAATAGTGTTCACGCAACTCTTATTGAAGACCAAACAGCTCTTTATTCAATGTTCTTAGTCCTTATTTCTTAATTCATAGTCCTTAATTCTTATTTCTTCATTTGTTGTCGTATTTCGACATTTGTACAGTAAAATTAACATTTGTATCTTAAAATCAATATTTGTTTTTAAAATAAAACATTTGTCGTATCAGATTTGTAAAATGTATTTTAATTGTATATTCGCTTGGCCGCTACAATCACTGATAAGGATGACATCGATGCGACTTAATGACTACAAAATATTAACTTTATTCTTTCGACAGATTAAATTCTGAAAATTTTTTTTTTTTAGTATTAGAAAAATAAATAAAGGTGTTTGAAGTATATCTTGATAAAAAATATTCCATATTTAGCGTAAATAGGTACAGAAAATAGTACGCGGAGGCGTAAAATGGGTAAAACGATATAATTCTGCCCGTACCAGTTCATATTACTACGTTCAATGTAAACAACGCACGTGTGACCATCAATTTGAGGGGTTTTTTTCTGTTTGTTTACTCTGAATTCTTTCAGAAGTACATTTTTTATCGTCTAATCTGATTGACCTGCTCGTGTTTGTTTTAAAACAACAAAAACAAGCCACAGAAGTAATATTTTTTGGCGTTATCGACTCCATCTTTCTTTGTTGGTAACCTTGTGATCTGACGTCACCCTTAGAACTATAGTGGTCTGAGCTTTTAAAGGTCAGTCATCTTGGACAGAGATAAAAGACGGATGTCACATTAGGTCTGTAAAACAGATTGTATTATGACGACATGAGCGGAAATCAACCTAACATACAATAAGTCATACGAGAAAGAAAATAAATTGAAATTCAGAAATTAGGTTTTTTTCTGATAGCGACATATTTGGTTGCTTGGGTCATTCTGGGAATAAAATATGGTATATCGTCATTGTATCAAAACCAATGTCGAGAGGCGAGTCACGTGAATTTTAAACTTTTATTTATTTCATTTTGGTATTCTCTACATATTAGACTGTAGCTTAACATTGTATGATAAAATTAATATAATATAAGGTTAGATGTAATTATATACATGTGTTTCAGTAATATAATAATAATTCAATGAAATGGGGTTTAACATCCGACTTTTCTGCTCCTATCGGGATAATGAAAGCGGGCATGCGACATACAGTGTGCTATATATTCTATATATGAGGGAAATTTCACCGGGACAGCAAAAGATTTCTGACTGAAAAGGGTTCGTTTACACGCATGTCAATGTGTACACTTGAATCAAATTATTTTCGTACCATCCGAAGGATTAGACGCTGTTCCTTGTTAGACTCTTGGTCCTGCAACATAACAAGGACTAAAATATGTCTGTAAATGGAAAGTGAAGGGGCTTTATGGCCGAATGGTTAGCATGTGCACGCTGTATCATAAGGTCTGTCATTGAGTCAACTGGCGTGGTTTCGATTCCCCGGTTGTACGTGACAAGGAGTAGGGTAGCCTGTTCAACCTCATGCGTTTTCTCTCGGTCCTCCGGTTTCCTCCCATTGCTAAAGACCCCTACACGCAAGCGAAATATTGAAATGGAGTTGGACCATGTGTTAGTCCCGAAATGATCTGGTTTGTGTCGAGTGAACGTTAAGCCAAATCTCTCCCTCTATCTCTCTCTATAAAGAGAAATATGGAATTTTAATTGCTATTTAGAAAGTTAGTTAATATAAATATTTTATTGTCTCTTGTATTGATTGTTAATTATATCCAACAGAGTGTAAACAAACTATACCTAATTAGGTTATTCAAATCATAAATTTGCCTCTGAAAGGTATTCATTCTACCGAACAATGTCCCTCATATACTTAATCTAGGATATTCCATCTTCCTACCTCGCCTACGTCTTCTGATGGACAATTTAGCTGCTGTGGGCGTATGTTTCGCTGTACGCCAATATACCATAATTAGATCGTAAATAAAATCTAGTTTAACGTCCTACCTTTCTGCACCGACTGGGATAATGAAGACGGGCTTACCCCGTGCAGTGCTATGAGGGAAACTTTGCCGGGCCAGGGGCATTACGCACTACCTAATCTTTTATCGAATTTCAACTGTCAAGGGCTGTTGATAGTCTACACAATGTATACATGGGTACCTCGGGCCAAGGGTTGTTTATAGCCTACACAATGTATCATTGGTGCCTCGAGTTTTCATATTATCCACAAAACTAGACACTTCTCCATGTCAGGAATTTCGTCCCGCGTCACTGACTAGGAAAACTCACACCGGAAAATGACGAAGAACTTTCTCGGCCAACAGCTGGAGCGATTCCGAGACCTGGCCCCAAGTTCACAAAGCATTCTCAGACTTAATTTATTCAAAATTGTTCGCCTTATTTGAGAGAGAGAGAGAGAGAGAGAGACTGAGAGAGGTAGGGTTTAACGTTCACTCGACACAAACTAGGTCATTTCAGGACTAACACATGGTTCAATTTTATTTCAATAATTCGTTTGCGCGTAGGGGTCTTTAGCAGTGGGGGAAACCGGAGGACCCCGAGAAATCTCACGAGTTTGGACAGGAGACCCCCCCCCCCCTCCTTGTCACGTACGCCAGTTAACTCAATGTCAGACTTTATGATACAACGCGCGCCCGCTTACCATTCGCCCCCCCCCCCCTTTATTTTGGTACCCTTTTTAGTCTTAAATTTATGTGGTATTTGATGAATCTGTAAAATTGTCAAATTTGTGTATAAGTTAGTAACGTCAGAATGTTACTTGACATGGCATCATTTACAGTCAGTTTTTTTTTAAAAAAACAATTCTCTAGTCCCCCACCCCTCCCCCCGTACTTAATGGTCAGACCAAGAGACTGCTTACCCACAATCTGTCCCTGATTTGAAGAGGAATTCACGCTGACATGATGTAAACATCGTGTACATCAATTACGTTTTCCCGGGGCGGATTTTTTTGGGGGGGGAGGTCCAAACACCACAGTGTTTGGGGGGGGGGGGGTCCAAACACCACAGTGCTCAGCTACATGAAAAACAACACTTTATGAGAAAAGTGTGACGGTCGTGTGCTTTATCCTTTATCATCATCTAATATCACAATTAATGCTTTGCATCAATGAAATTGAATCACAATGTCGTCTTATTAATTCATGACAAAAATTGACGTCACACGGGGTGTTGGATTTCTCTCTTTAAAAAACTCAATGAGTATGCTTACGTAATTAAAAGATCTTAATGGCATCATGCATTGTCACCCCCCCCCCCCCCCGCCCTCTACCTCTGATTTAATGTATTTCATAGCCACAGTGATATCCTACTGGTATGTTGTTGAAACGCCTAATTAATTAATTTTAAAAACAACCGCCGAGGAAAGTCAAGCTAGACTGGAAGCCACAGAAATATCCTACTTGTAATTTGTTAAAAAAAACACCTAATCAATCTACTTTAAAAACCACAAACTCCGATAAACGTCAAGCTAGGCTGGTTAAAAATATTAGTTAGAAGACAAAAACAGACTTTCTTTTCAAGGTGGCTTATCTTGTCTGATCACTTGACTGAATATCAAAATTCTAATTAACGCTGGTAATTGATTACAAGCTATATAAATTCAGAAATCCCTTTCAAAGA